ATTAACACTCCTGTCTGAGGAACGGCGGGTTTAAAACTTTGACGTCAAGCCTGAGAATGCATGTGATGGATGTTAATGCACTTTAAAATTACAACATTTTAAAATTGTATTATTTGTAACTATAATGCTAGGGTGTTTCTTACGGTCTCAAGCATTTCGAAATTGTATTGCAACCTTTGAATAAAGCCACGTGGAGACTATCAATAATTGAATTGATTAAGTTTGAACTGATTCAAGAAGATTCAACTTTTAAAAGCTGAATTTTGTAAATAGGTTTAAATCACTAAAAAATCTGTTGTAATGATCTAAATGTCACTGGTCTAAGAAAAATATATAGGCAAAAATAAATATATTGTGAATTTTCAATATATCATCCAGCACTCAAAGACAGAAATAGTGGAGGAGAAAGAGTTGAAGCAGAGAGAAAGAACAGACACCGGATGAAACATGTAATCAGGAAAGGGCAGAATGATTAGATTCAGAGAGAGGCATGCTGGGAAAACAGGAGCGCCTGTTGAACAATTCTCAAGTATTGACTGATCATCTGCACACACACACACACACACACACAGGTCTGGTTTACTATCTTTGTGGGGACTCTCCATAGACGTAATGGTTTTTATACTGTAAAACTGTATTTTCTATCCCATTACACTGCCCCTATCCATCACAGGAAACATTCTGCATTTTTACATTTTCAAAAAAAATTATTCTGTGTGATTTATAAGCGTGTTTACCCATGGGGACCTCAATTTAGGTCCCCACAGTGACACGAGTCCCCATGAGTCTGTGTGCATTCAGGGTTAAGTCCCCACTGGGATAGAAAAACATGTACACACACACACAGTAACATCACCAGCTCTCTGTAAACTCTCATCCTCTCACACTACAAAAGCCCGTCTCTCGGTTGAAACGCTTCATTCCCCCTTTTCTCTCTGAATCTGCCTCTATCTGTCCCAGTCTCTCTTCTTTCTCTCCCTCTCACACAGGGGGAAATTACTTCAATATTGATCATTTTGTGACATCGTGATGAATGCCGTGCATGAGAGTCTTGTGTCGGGTAATAAGAGTTCATTAACACTCCTGTCTGAGGAACGGCGGGTTTAATCTGCTGGTGTTTCCACGAAAATATGAAACAGCACAACATTGATAATAATCAGGAATGTTTCTTAAGCTGCAAATCAGCATATTATACTGATTTCTGAAGGATCATGTGACTCTGAAGACTGGAGTAATGATGCTGAACATTCAGCTTTGATCACAGGAATAAAAAAATCACTTATTTTAAATAGTAATAATATTTCACAATATTACAGTAGTTTATTAAATAAATATAGCCCAAACTTCTGAACGGTAGTGTACAGTTAGCTGGTAATTATCGCAAAAACAAAGATCCCCAAAAGAAAACGCATAAAATGTAATAATATATTAAATTTATTAAAACCTCTGCTAATAAAAATATTTCATTACCACATAGAAAACAAGATGAACACTGCAACAGTAAACCAATATAGCCTTAATCATTAATTATATGCTAATCAAAACTACTTTTTACTCCAGTCAATAGTCATATCCAGTTAAAGTGACGTAGTTACATTGTACTCCCTCAAATAAGTACTGAGTACAAATAAGTACTCGATATAAGTACTACATGTACTTGTATAGAGTTGCAGTTATGGTTTGGTTTAGGATTATTTACTTGTAATTTTGCATAATTTACTGCTATCACTATAGTAAGTACATGTAGCATGTGTAACTACGGCACCTTAAAGGGGTCGTTTTATGCTTTTTCACTTTTTCAACTTTAGTTAGTGTGTAATGTTGCCGTTTGAGCATAAAAAGATCTGCAAGGTTACAAAGCTCAAAGTCCACTCCAAAAAGAGATATTTTATTTAGCAGAATCCCCTTTTCAAGAGCTGCAACGAACGGCTCATTTGGACTACAAAGTAATTTTTCTGGGCTTTATGAATCCATAATGTTTCTCATTTAAATAATCCCGGCCCTCTGAATATGCAGAAAAGCAGCCGAGGCCTGGATGAGCTGCTGCTGTCGAAGAGATGCTGTTTTTCGGACTTACAGTGGGTAAAATGTATTTTAAACACTGTTCCTGGACATTATAATTCTGATGTTTATCTGTGTGCTGCATATTTTACGGAGAACAGCTTCCAGAACCATAACAGGCTACACACAAAAGCTTCCCCTGAAACAGAGCAGTTCCACTTTTTCAGGACAATCTGTTGTTTATGGATCACAACTTGTAAATATGTCTTATTATTTGTAGTTGCATCTATTAACAGTTCTAATTATAAGTTTGATGTTGTTGCTACGCTCTCCTGCTAGCCAACATTAGTGTTGTTTACTAGAGCTTTGTAAGCTCTCGCTCCTTAGGAAAATCAACCATGTTTTTGAGATCGATTACTGTTTGTATGACCATAGTTTTCAGACAAATATCATGATTAAATGGTGGATACCTATAATGTACAAGAAAAACATACCACTGAAACGTCCTGTGAAATCCGTGCTTGCAAAGTCGGTGCATGAAATCCATTCTGGATGCTCCTCTTGTTAGTTAACATTGTCAGGGTCTGAATCGGGTTTGAAATTGCCGCCATCCTTCATATTTACACTAGAGCAGAACTCGTGGTTATGGAGGGGCGAGACATCTCCCAAACACACGCTAAGCGCTGCCAATAGAGTGGTGCAGGTATGACATACCTCACGGAAATTGTGAGCATTTCCGGTTCCATAGTCCCAAAGTCAATGTTTATTTTTTTATGGGATTTTGGTTAAATGGCTGAAATAAGGTCTGTGGTGAACACAAGCTCAAAACACTTTCAAGTTGTGTTTATCTGTGATAATTTTCTTGATGGACAAAACGTGCAAGTGTCATAAACTTTTGTTGGTCACAGAGCGATAATTCAAAAGCCTATGGGAAAATCCTATTGGGTTTTTGTCGAGGGAACCAGAGTAATGCTAACCCGCGGTTGGCCTACAAAGTGACATCACATCTGCACACCTCTATTACAACACACTGGGCCAGCTGACCAATCACAGCACACTCGTATTTCGGAGGGAGGGGCTTCATTGAAAACAACGCGTTCGGGACAGACTGCAGAGAGAGGAGCAGTGATAATGTAAAATATGGGAAAAATCATGTGTTTTTTTAATAATCAAGCATGAAAGCATATTCTAGTACACCCCAAAAACAAAATCAAGACTTCGTAAAAGGGCATAATAGGACCCCTTTAAAATAAAGTGTTACCATGCATTATAAATCGCAGTGATGTGAAAAGACACGCATTATACAAAAATATTTTACTGTCGAACTTCAAACACGCATTGACCAATCAGAATTAATCTATTATGACAGCTATGTATAAATAAAAGATTTGTTTATCATTCTCAACCCAGTGCGTCCAAGACTATCAAGTCATTCTCAAAATTTCAACAAAAATAATCTATGGCAGCCAGCTAGACACAGCAACAGGGAATGTATAGAATAATAATTTAATGCACCACAGAAACCTAATGTTTCGGCATAAAAACACATGTACAAGATCCCAGAATCAAAGTTTGAGCCGCTGGATGCGGATGAAGTGGCGTTTCTCTGCTGCGCACTCGTTCATGAGCTCAGGGAGGGACGGGGAGGCTATTTTGGGAGCTGCAGTAGGTGTCTGTGGGTTCACCTTTGCTCAGGATGCGAACGGGACCCTTTCAAGAGCGTTCTGGCGTGTGTGTGTGTGGGCGCGTGGATGAGAACAAGGTTAGGGCTCTGTGTGTGTGTGTGAGAGAGAGGGGGTGAATTCATATCGACAGAACAGAGCCGAGCGGTAACTATGCAGCGGTATCCATGGAGCCGTAACCATAGCAACGGCGCTCGGAAAGCCAGGGTCTTTAATTGGTGAGTGTGAATATATAGAGAGAGAGAATAGCCAGCCTCTGACACAATATTGTTTCTAGCAAACAACTCGCATAAATGTGGCCTGAAACCTGCTTTTGTTTCACTGTTTGGAACCATTTCCCCCCTGAGACATCTCTCTTGTATCTTTCAGCCGTGTGAACATTTACATTGGCAATCACATCAAAATTATTACAGCTATAAAGCATCACTATTAAACAATGAATTTACTTTCCAAGCCATCACACATGCACTCGGGCCTGCTAGACCATAAAATGGACACATATATCAATCTGATAGACTTGCGCTCAATATCTAGACACTACAAAAATCATAGACCTAAATTTAAGATTATGTATTTGAAATGCATATACAATTTCCATTCATATGCATTACACAGATTTAACATTAACTTAATGTGATGCATATTTGTCAGTCATGCATGAATGAAACGGGTATGAATTCTGTAAAATTACTAATAAACCGAATGTTTTAATTTGTCATCAATAAATCCAATTGGTTTCAATTTTAACAAGCCGAATATTGCTTGAATATCCACAGCTAGCAATATTTTAATCATGTTCATACTTTCATGTTCAGATTTATGCTGATTCTAAGCAGTTTGAATAAATGCATTTTGAAAATATAAATATTAAAATAAAACCAAATAGATGCAAATACTCTATGATTTTTTTTTTAAGTGTAGAGATCCCGTTTCAATAAATATATATCACATTAAGTTTATTAGTTTGTGCATGTTAAAACTGTGTGGAAATATTATATGCAATTCATATCATTGAGGCCTAAATATTAGCAAGAGCAAGAGAAAACAAACGAGAACACTTTAGCAGATGCTTGGTAATGCAACTTTTGCATGAGCAAATACTGTCACTGTATATACCATATAGTAGCAGATTTTACAATAGTGGCAGTAACTGCGCTATTTTGGAGGAAACTATGGTTACCATGGTGATGTGTTCAGCAAGGACAGTCAGAATTAGTTGACTCGTGTTTCTATGTGGGTAGTTTGGTAGTAACACATTGCATCTACTGTAAAACCTTCCAGTTATTATCAGTGAAAGCAGGAAGAAAACACACTTACATTGTCCACTGCAGCTTTTCATTTTTAATAGAGTTGTACAGGGCCTGCGGAAAGAGAGAGAGAGAGAGAGAGAGAGAGGGAGAGAGAGAGAGAGACAGTCAGTAACACTCACACCTAAGCTGTGAATGACTGAGTTTGGTTTCAGAGGCTGCGTATGAGTTGCATCATATATATTCTGCTGTAACTGGCATCATAATCAGGCCGTGAGAGATGACAAAACCCCAAAATAAACACATTTGACCCAAACACAGTTGCAAAGTCATTCTGGCCATACCTAAAAATCAGTAAAGCATTAAATTAACTCTACAACCAAAAATCTAAACTTTTTACATTTTATATCGGAAATATACAGAAATATTATATATTAATATAATATAAGAAAGGTAATAATAAAATAAAAACAAATAAAAAAGGAATTCAATTGAATAAAATCTTCTCTTTCAATACAAGAGATTATTAAAACAGAATCAGTTTCCTACTGATCTTGAGCACTTCATTGACACATCATCGGTGTAAATGACGAGTGTGTGGACGTCAGTCGTAAAACACCTGCGTCACAGTGGAATCCTGTCTTAGCAAATTAACTATCTAAACCGAGTCAAAGACTGTCCCTGTATTTGACAAAACCTCCATATGAGAACATTCTCAAGGATAATGATTCATTAATTAAATAAATGTGATTTTGTTTTATTAAATTGTAAAAAATGTAAAGTTATGGCTTGGGTTGGGGATAATAATATGATTTATATCAAAGCAGTAAAAGTCTATGGTATGTCCTTATTTAGATGGTAAGATGAACATGCATGTGTGAGGCTCTCTAATAAGCATGTTATGTCCTTTCATCAAGAAACCTCAGCATCATCAACAGCTAATAATCTCTCAGTCCCTCGGGACAAAACAAACCAAGGTTCATCTCAAACACAACCTCAGCTGCATTCTTCCAAATAAAGCTTCTCAATGTGTGTTTTAGCATCAATGCCATAGAAGAACCATTTTTGGTTCCTCAAAGAACCTTTCAGTCAACAATTTTAATAATCTAAAGAATCTTTTTCCACTTTAAAGAACCTTTTGTGGAATGGAAACGTTCCGTGGATGTTAAAGGTTCTTTATGGAACCATCAATGTCAGTAAAGAACCTTCATTATTATGAGTGTAGAGTGTAGTGTACTAAACATGTGCTGACTTTATTCCTTCAAAACACACACACACACACACACACACACAATTAAAAAGAGAGTATTATAAGTGTACTTTAAATTTGGAATCAAAAGAAGTTTTTTCCCCCCCTTTTAGTTCATGTAAATGAACCTTCAGCCCATCTATTCTCCTAAAAGTAAATACTCTTCCATAACGTATTTAAAGTGATAGTTCACCCTAAAATTACAATTCTGTCATCATTTACTCACTGTCAACTACTTCCAAACCTGTATGAGTTTCTTTCTTCTGCTGAACACAAAAGAACATATTTTGAAGACTGTTGGTAACACTGCATTCAGGTATAATTATTTTTTTAGCAGGTATTGCATTTGGATGTATATTTAGACATTAATCAAAGACTAATTTCTGTCACAGTATAGATTTTATTTTCATTTTTTTTTTAAATGTTGTTGAACCTTCTGGCTCAACCTGGTACCTGGTCTGAACATTTCATCTCACTCTGCCTCTGTGTGTGTGTGTGTGTGTGTCAATGGCTACCATCAACTGTCTTCTTCTAAATATCTTCTTTTGTGTTCAACAGAAGACAGAATCTCATACAGGTTTGGAACAACAATTTTCATTTTTGGGTGAATTATCCCATTAAAAAACAAATTAAGTATTGTGTCAGAACAAAAGTGGAGAATAATGATTGCATGTTGGAATAACCATGTCATTTCTTGGCCTCTGGGGCAGCAAACATGACAGATGATCAGATGAGTGGTAAAGTGAAGCGAGACAGGGTTACCCTCTTCCTCTTGCGGGCCTGCGGGTGGTTCTTCCCATCTTGAGCTTTTCCCAGGAGGTCCGGGAACACCAGAGGTTTGAGCGACCGGGATCGGGGCGTTCGTGGGTAACGGAACGGGTCCATCATACGGAAATCTCGCCCGTATCGGACCGAGCAGAGCGAACGTGAGCGGAAGCGCCCGGCCGAATGCAGACTGTTCACTCCAATCATGCTCGAGAACGCAGTGCACTGTGGGAAACTATTAACTCCAGGTGGGGGTTTAGATCTCGCAGTGAGTTTTCAGGAAAAAATATCTTCAATATGAGAATAACTTGAGAAAACCCAGCATGTCTTCTTCCACAAGACGACGAGGTAACTCCAAAAGACAAAAAAAATACAAAAATCCAGATTACAAACAACAGAACATGACCTAATCCAAGTGCTTAGATAGATTGATGAGAACAATAAGTGTAAATAAAGTGTAATAAACAGTCTGTGACCATCTGTAGGATTCACAAGCGAATCTCAACACACGTTACGTTTCATTTGTGAGACGCTGACTGAGGAAACGCAGAACTAAACCACTGAAACCAGAGTGTGTTAGAGCAAAATAAAAAATGACAATGATGCTGAAATGTACAAAATTTCCCTCGCGGACACTGAACACATGTAGTGGTCACTCACAAACACCATTGGGACAACTTCTACAAGCTACACATTGCCCATGCACCAGCGATGCCACACACACACACACACACACTGAGTGATGCCACAGATGGCAAGCAAAGCTTTCAGAAGTGTGAAAGAACAGCCAGGATCTGACAGATGGAATGAGGCGAACGGAAACCGGGATAAAACATGAAACGCCCTCACAAAAACGAGGCGGTCAGCTCGTCAGAAAACACACAGCAATCCCCACACCTGCACCCGCTCCAGATGATGCACAAACAATCCCACACGAAGACCGGGAGAATGACACAGAAGGATCTGTGAGCCTGTTGCTTCTGAGATGCAGACGAGATGTTCAGGTGGATGTGTTTTCTTCCCACCTCAACCAAACGCTTTCAAAAGATCTGCATCCCTCCTCTTTGCATGCGTTTATCTATCAGTCCATCTGGGATCCATCTGTCCTGGAAGAGCTGATGGATTTTTTTGGTCCGTGTGTGTGTGTGTAGATGCGGTCTCCCTCTGGCCGGCACAGAGTCACAGGTACGTCCACGTATGATCTGAAAATGTCCAGTGCCTCGCGCTGTCCTGTGTGCTCTCTGTCTGCCTCCTGTCTTATCTTTCAGGCTCGCAGATGGAAAGTCTCTAAATCTCAGAGACTCGAAGGAGGCTGAAGCTCTCTCGCTCGCTCATTCTCTCTCTCCCCCCCCCTCCTCAGGTTTCAGGCAGCCAATCACAGCGATCCAACACACACACACACACACACACACACACACGGCTTGCTTTACTTTGAATGCTGATTAACATTCAGAACTTGTCCTCAGAGGTGGGATAGAGAGGGAGAGAACATGGAATTATGGAATTATGGGAGAGAGATGAACACAAAGAACATCATAAAACTACAAGTGTGACATGGAAAATATTCTATAAAAATGTAGTCTATAAAAAAAGCATTGAGACGAGACGAGATAAAAAGGGGTGAAGCTAATTAAAACACATCCAGTCACATCACATTTCACACCAAAATAAAAATAAATAAATTTTTTTGCATTACAGAAGAGAGATTTTTTTCTTTTGGAGTGAAATACAGTATGACCTTCTTGACCAGTTTTATCAGATTTAATGTGTGTGTGTATATATATATATATATATATATATATATGAACAACTGCAAATAGAAGCATGTATTTATTTAAAAATGTCTTGATTATAAAAAAAATAAAAATAGGTATAAATTAGGATAAATTTAGATTTACTTTTTGCCCTTATAACAGCTACAACATATGAATTCGAAATATGGTTCATTTATTATTAATCTCCCTTTAATACATATTCAAAACAGATCTCGGGCAGAATTCATTTGCATTTTTATAGTTTTAACATCCTAAAATATTATTAAAATTTAATATCCAAGACTACAATTTTATTATCTGTTGGTGTAAAAAGTTGAACAAAAAAAATGTATATAAATTTTGAAATCAAGTTAATTTCCCTTTTGATTTACTGACCGCAGCACTGGAGCAAAATGAACAAAACCTGACGATCAGGTTCTCCAGGATGATTCGAGATGTTTCAAAAGAACATCAGTGGAAACGAGAAAACGAGAAAATATGAAATTAGAAGCAACTTAAATGAACATTTCCTTGCACAATCTTTACTCAAAATTCACTGTAACAAATAAGAAACAAAAAGTGCATGGCTATTTTTGGTAAGGTCTGAGCAATACTTGTTGTGGAGGATATGATGTGTCACTGTGCAGGGACTGGATGAATGTTTGAGTTGATCAGGACACAAAGCGATTCCCCGCTCAGTCTCAGCACAGCGAGTTGGCTCAACAGGAGAAAGCTAATTGTTTCCACTCTCCGTCTGTCGTTATCTCACTACACAGACAGACTTGCACTAAAATGGGTCGCCGTCAACCCGTGACCACCCTATCAGTGCCAGGGCCTCGGTTCCCGCCCCCTCCATCGCCATGACGACGACGCACTTCAAGCACTCTTCATCACCAGCGTGTGCAAAAGCCCACAAGCAGCCCACGTGTGAGAGACGCAGTTACAAATCCATCGTCTTCCACCGCCGCACTAAATAAATGCCTCCTCCGGGGCACACAGGCACCAAATCTTTGCATTTGACCTCATTTTCCACAACAGATGTGACTGAAAATGAACTCACAAAGCATAAAACAACTTTAAATTAACAAATACATGTGCAAAAAAATACTCTTGGATGGTGTCCACTATGGTGTAAATAAATACAAATAAATAAAAAAAACACACGGTCCACATTGTAAACATAATAGGAACTTGTACGAAATTATTTAGAAAACAATATATCATATTATAAATAAATAAATACACCTACACTCTAAATATAACACACACACGCACACACACAGTATATGATATTACCATAAATAATATTTATTTTATTTAAATTTATATTTATTAAATTATATTTT